ATTATCTCTCACTGCTGTTGCTGTACTTGATGCCTATATAGTATATAGTATACAGTGTGTCGCATTTAAGATGAAGACACTCCCATATTTTCGCTATTTCAAGGAATAGAGATTTGAATTTTTTCACATTCATACATGTTGGTGGGTCACATTTTTTAAGATACTCAACTGAAATCTGAACTTTAAACTTGGCCTACTACGAATTCACAAACGGGGCCAGTTGTCGATATTTTGCTTCGCGTTAGAAATATCGAAAAAAATTATTAGAAAAAGTTGTTCAGAATATTATTCTAACCTCGCATACCGATTTTCATAGCAAAATTCGCATTTCTAATTTATTTATTTTTATTATTGTTTTATACCATTTCCTAAATTTTATAAATTATAATTTATTTGTAATTTCCAAAAATTGTTTTAATTATTTATTTAACGGTCATAAACACTAGTTAGTATCAAATTATTACTTTCCATGGCTCCCTTATTATCAAACTAAAAAATGAACTTGTAATAATTTTGTGTTGACCAAAATAAAAAAAAATTAAAAATGCGAATTTTGTTATAAAAATTGGCAAATGGGGTTAGAATAATATTCTGAACAACTTTTTCCAATAACTTTTTTCGATATCTCTAACGCGAAGCAAAATATCGAGAACTGGCCCTGTTTGTGAATTTGTAGTAGGCCAAGTTTAAAGTTCAGATTTCAGTTGAGTAGCTTAAAAAATGTGACCCATCAACATGTATGAATGTGAAAAAATTCAAACCTTTATTTCTTCAAATAGCGAAAATATGGGGGTGCCTTCATCTTAAGTGCGACACACTGTATAAGGCGCTTGGCAGCGTGTCTCGGATATGCTTACACACCACAGCTATCCGGCACTAATGAGGTTTAATAAGACCAAAACAGGCTGTCTTGTGTAGCACGCTCGAAACAAAACCACGGTGACGATATATTTGGCCGGTTCTTACAAAATGGGCACTACTTATTAAGTAGAAAACCATTTTTTAAATAACAATATAGTTTGTTCTTTTTTAACTTAAATGTAACATTTCACTTTCAAACAAAACTGCAAACTGCAATACCAAATTTATTTTTAATTACAATAACAATGTTTTTAATATAAGAATAAAAACAACACTGTTTTAAAGTTTCACTATTTTATTTATGTTTTTAATGATTAACAATTGTTAATATTAATAAATATAATTTTTTAGTACTACAAGTATACATTCTAAAATAAATTTAGCGAGCTGTTAGTTTCAATTTGGTCATTAAGAACAATATCAAATTTTTTCTTTAGTTTATTAATTTCCAAAGACTCCAGAAGATTTAGTTTGGTACCCTTAGCCAATAAGGACATTTAATATTTTAGAGTTATCATAAAATTTGTGGTTCTCAATGTTTTTTGTCCTTTATTATTAAAATTTCTTAACTTCTTTATCCCCCTGCCACTTCAATAAATATTTCGTCGCCAAATATTTTTTTTAGTCTCGCACTGTCGAATTCAAATGTCGTCGAGCAGATTCAAGCCTGGCCCGACGTAATCTTTCCGAAACTAACGGCTTCTTGGCTGGATGTCCGCTGTAGAGTTTCACTTCAACTAATTTTCATTTAATTTTGAAGTTACAGTACCAATATAATTGACCAAAACAAAGCAAATTTTTGATAGCTCAATGGTGTTAGCTTAAAAAACTTGAAGCTTTAAAATTCCTCTTTATATCGATATCATGATTTTACATAGAGTTAAAGTCTTTACAAATTACTAAAAGTAATTATACATATCATTATGTATTCCCTTTTTTAGTTTTTTTACGCATGATATGCTATGTATAATATTTTTTTCAATGCACTTTTTACAAACTTTATATTATAATAATATAGGTACCAAAATTTGTAAGTGGTTTTAATATTATAAGCCTCATTCTACTAAAACTTTAAGTATCCTCCTGCATCACATTTATCTTAAAAGATTAGCAAAGCATTTATACATAAAACAGCTAGCAAGATAATTCCTGCATATTAAAACAACAAACATTGACAAATTACTTTGTTCGTTATAATCGCCATGCTTCGTAAACATAACACCCATTAAGAAATCAGAAAATTGTTTTTAGAGATTAAAATTTAACCTAAGAAGCCTAACAGTTCTGTGGGTAAAAGGCATAAGGGGATAAGTCAAAAAAAGCAATTTTTCAGTAGAGCCTTAAACGTATTCGCATTAATTTAGGAAACATATTTATGGTTAGCGGGTATACCCTTTTGTTAGCACATGTCATATGCTAACAAAAGCGTATACCCGCTGAACATAAATATATTTCCCGTATTAATGCGAACACGTTAAAGGCTCTATTGAAAAATTGCTTATTTTGACTTATCCCCTTATGCCTTTTACCCACAGAGTTTTAATAAGTTAAGTATGGAGAAAATTTGTTTAAAAGTACTGTTTAAAATTAAAAAATATATTATTATTAGTAATCTTAATTACAAGTAGTTTACAAGAGTTAAAAGGGTGAAAGGGAAACTAATCATTATTTTAGAATATCAAAAAAAAATTGCCAGTTAAATTTGAAACAATAGTACAATATTTAGTAAAATTATTCAGTATTACTTGATAATCAAAACAGTTTGTCTGTACAAATTTTAACAATCCTTTCTGCATACGATATAGAATTTTTGGTTTGGGTCTGATCCCAGACATTACTGATTTATTTTTTGGAATTAAAATTTCAAATTATTTATAAAAATGGTTGATTATAGTTCATAACAATCGTATTCACTTATATATATTTTTTTATTTTTAAATTACAAAATTTTCAAAAAAAATTTGGACCTTTTAAAAGGCCATTAGTAATATGGGCTAGTTATAGGTTTGTCAGAATTAATTGTTACATATACAAAATATTTATTAACAATAAATGACACATTTCCAAAATTACCTTATTTAGTGTGATACTCCTTGAAAAAATCTTTGGGATGCAACACAACGTCACATTTTTCACATCAAATTACACTTTTTGTGTTTTTGCTTCTCTTGGTATATAATTAAATGGTCAATTCTATCGTACCAAGAATAGGCATAAGTATTATTTGATGAACATGGAGGTTCTCTTTTAGATTTTCAGCAAATTAGTTGCAATCGCTCTTCTAAAAGTTAGCTTATCCATTTTCCTCCTTGAAGTCTATAAATATTTCATGCATTCTGTACGGTAATATCAATGCAATGGTAAATTAGCGGAAAGTACAATTTCTTGGCCCGGGTCGAAATTCTGTAAAGCCCAATATTTTGCGTCCACAAAGTACTGAAATAGGTAAATACAATCTCATCAGGATCTATCTCTGAATCAGAGTTTTCATTAGTATCATCTTATTAATTCTTAAATTTAATATTCTATTATTATTTTTTATTGAATAATAAATTATTCATTATGTTGTACTCAGTACAAGAGAAAATTGAAATGATAAGCTGGTCTTTACGTGGAAATTCTCTACTTCAAACAAGGAACCTATTCTCGTAAGTAATATCATAAGGGCATTTAATTTTTCCGAAAAGAATCGAAAAAACACGTTGCTAAGTAATATTTTAACAAAAAGCATGAGTGCTGGTGGCAACAAAAATCCGAGTCGAAGAGGAGGATTTTTGCACCTGCACGAATGCATTTTGTTAAAAAATATTACTTAGCATTGTGTTTTTTCGATTTTTTTCACAGGAAAAATTAGATGCCCAAATGGTATTTGACAAGACTATTTCATGAGTAACAGTTAACAATTAAAATATAAATTGCAATTTTTGGTGACAACAGCTGTCAAGTTTTGCCGCGGGTAAACTCGAATAAACTGCTGACAGGTGCTGTCACACAGTTTTTTCACCTAGAAACCATTTGTAATTCAAAATTGCGTTTGTGATTGGTGGAAATTAAGACGAGGGAAATAGTCGTAAGTAATATCATAAGGGCATTTAATTTTTCCGAAAAAAATCGAAAAAACACGTTGCTAAGTAATATTTTAACAAAAAGCATGAGTGCTGGTGGCAACAAAAATCCGAGTCGAAGAGGAGGACTTTTGCACCTGCACGAATGCATTTTGTTAAAAAATATTACTTAGCATTGTGTTTTTTCGATTTTTTTCACAGGAAAAATTAGATGCCTGAATGGTATTTGACAAGACTATTTCATGAGTAACAGTTAACAATTAAAATATAAATTGCAATTTTTGGTGACAACAGCTGTCAAGTTTTGCCGCGGGTAAACTCGAAAAAACTGCTGACAGGTGCTGTCACACAGTTTTTTCAACTAGAAACCATTTGTTATTCAAAATTGCGTTTGTGATTGGTGGAAATTAAGACGAGGGAAATAGTCGTAAGTAATATCATAAGGGCATTTAATTTTTCCGAAAAAAATCGAAAAAACACGTTGCTAAGTAATATTTTAACAAAAAGCATGAGTGCTGGTGGCAACAAAAATCCGAGTCGAAGAGGAGGACTTTTGCACCTGCACGAATGCATTTTGTTAAAAAATATTACTTAGCATTGTGTTTTTTCGATTTTTTTCACAGGAAAAATTAGATGCCTGAATGGTATTTGACAAGACTATTTCATGAGTAACAGTTAACAATTAAAATATAAATTGCAATTTTTGGTGACAACAGCTGTCAAGTTTTGTGTGTTTTTTTATTGATACAAAAAGAAATTCTTATTGATACAAATTTTTTATTGATACAAAAAAAAATTCCACAACGATTTTAAATAAAGAAATTGATTTTTTTACCAAGACTGTACAAGTAAATGTAACTAAACAAGAAATTAACAATTTATATATAGGATAGGAAAAGGTGAAGACAAACAAAAAATTAAACCTATTTTTCTTCAGTTGGTTTCAAATTTGAAAAAGCAAGAAATTTTTAGAAATGTAAAAAATCGAAAAAACAAAAAATATTATATGAAGAGCTAAAGAAGGCAAGAACAGCAAAAAAGAGGCATTTATAAAGAACAATAAATTAATTATAGACGGCAAAACTTTAACGTACGAAGATCTTAAAATCAACTTGGAAAAAGAAAACATAATAAACAAACCTACAGAAAAACCTTCTCCATCGACTACCCAAAATAAAACTGCAGGCAGTGAAGAGGGTGAAGAATCATCAGAATCGGATATAGAAACAGTTAAAGAATCGGATGCAGGAAAGAAAGACGTCATAGAAGACAAATTAAAGACTGATAAAAACAAAAAACAACCGTCACCTCCCCAAAAGCAAAATCAAGAAAAAATCCTAAGAAAAACTAATAACACACCATTTTCTTTGTTATTTTGTAAATAGGTACTCTATACTGTGAGTAATTTCTGGTGTTTATTTTTAATTTTTAATTTTACTCTTATTCTATTTTAATTTTCATACTTTAACAACTTAAAGTTATTTTTTTTTACTAAAATGGATCCATACAATTGATGCATATGAATTGAATTGAATAATATCAAAAAACTAAATTTCATGTTCGACAAAAAAAGTTCGATCTCAAACTATTTCATACAAATATCAGAAGCATCCAAGAAACTTTGATGAGTTAAAAATAAAAATCTATCAGTTTAAATCAGACTTTGATGTTATTATACTAACTGAAACTTTTACTATACTTGATGAAAATCTATTCCAATTAAACGGTTACAAAAAAATTTACAATGAGGGCAATGTAAACAAAAACCACGGTATTTTGATTTATGTAAAAAATGATATAAATTTGACTGTATTGATCATATTTTTGACAAATATTTTTTTTAAATCAGTCGTTCATTCTTAAGGATCAAATAACTGATCATAAGCCAATCATTCTTTTTTCAAGTTTTTTGAGTGTTTCAGAAGTTAAAGAAAAAACCCGATATATAAAATATAAAAATACATTAATTATGATACTTTAAGGATTCCTCTAAAAAATTAAAATTGGAGGAACATTTATGAATGTGAAAATATTAATAAAGCTAGCGATTTATTTATTGATAAATTAATTAAAAACATAAGAAATAAGAAGAAAGGAGTGGATTTCAAAAGACATTATTAATGCTGTCAATGAAAAGAATAGATTATACAGATGAACTCTATTATACCCAAATAACAATGAATTGCTTAATAAATATAGATGATATAGAATTACATACAAAAACTAATTAAAAACTCTGAAATATCGTACCTATGGCAATGCGTAAAAGAAGTTTGTAATGAAAAATCTAAAAATTCACAAATCTCACAAATTTAAATTTCCAATGAAAATATAACCAGCAAAAAAGAAATAGCAAATCATTTTATTAACTATTACAATAACATTGCAATAAGTCTAGTGGAAAACATTAAAGTTCCAACAAATGTCCATGAAATATTAATAACTTCTTATATTTAAAACCAGTAGAAGTAGCATTATTAATAGACAAATTAAAAATAAAAAGTCCGCAGGATGAGATCTTATAAATTCTAAAACTCCTAAAAACATAAAAAATAAAATCTCAAAGCAGCTAACATTTATTTTAAATAAAAGTTTTACGGAGGGTATTTTTCCAAAGAATTTAAAGACAGGGATTATCAAACCTTTGCTCTGGTGGACTCTGAAAACATAAATAACTACAGACCCATCACACTGATTTCAAATGTTGGAGAAAATATTTGAATATGCATTAAAAACAAGACTGGTTAGTTTTTTAAAACAATTTAAAATTCTCTCTGACCGCCAATATGGTTTCCGCGAGGGTAAATCGACCGAAGATGCTATTGTGGATTTAACAACAGAACTTTACAACTCACTTAATAAAAAATTACCCACAATTAGCATGTTTATTGATTTGGCCAAAGCTTTCGATATTGTAAGTTATAGTAAGTTGTTTAGTAAACTGAAAAGATATGGTATACGAGGTAATGGTTTTGATATATTAAACATTTATTTAGAGGGTAGGACCAGTATGGTAAACGTTAATGACTGCTATAGTAATTCTAACACAAATCCCAGTTATGAAGTTTCACAGGGCACCATCCTTGGACCAATTCTTTTTATAATATATTTAAATATCATAGTCCTAATGGAAACAGAAGGTAAAATTATTAGTAATAATTTATAATTATAATTAAATTAGGGGTCCAAAGTTTGGAAGATAATTTTTGTAGCTTGTAAAGGATAGGTATTTTGTTTTACTGTAATTAACTGATAACAGAGTCAAAGTGCAATTTAACTTTATTAAAATCCCTTTCAGCTTTTTGTTTAACTTTATCCTGCTGCGCAGATGATTGCGCTCAGACATCAGCGTTTTTAAGGAGCATCCTCTGATCCACCATTTCTATCGGGTGGAATTCCAACAAAGAGGCAGTCCCCACTTGCACATGATGGTATGGAATTACGGCGCTCCAACGGTAGAGAAAAGGGCTGCCTGCGACTTTATCGACAAGTTCGTGATGTGCGACAGCGAGTTGCCAGGGCTTGAGGGCTTGATTGCAATGCAAAAACACAATCACAGCAAGTCGTGCAAAAATGCAGTAAAGGGCAAAACTATTTGCAGGTACAACATTCCGTTTCTGCCGATGTGACAGAAAGGATGTAGCATCCGTCGACCGGATGCAAGCACAGGTCGCTTTAGTTAAGAGTCGAGAATTTTTAAGCGACCAAAAAATACTAACGATCTCACGTTTCAGGGTTTGACCAAGGAAACGTACATGAGAATGATCGAACTAAGCCTCAGAAAGCCGGCTGTGATGTTGAAACGTCGTCCCAAAGACTGTTTTGTTAACAACTTCAACATGGACATCTTGTGCTTGCAGCGTTCCAACATGGACATCCAGTTCATACTGAATCTGTGTGCATGCGTTTCGCACATCGTCTCCTTCATGAAAAAATCGCGTCTCCAAGGTCCTGGCAGCGACCATAAAAGAAATAAAGCGAAACAACATTGAAGTAATCGATCGGTTCAAGCTGCTCGGCAAACGGTTTATCGACTCTTCGAAGGTGAGCGCGCAAGAGGCAGCCTACGATAATCCCGATTGATCAGTCCCTGCTCCGTCACTTTAACGCCATTCCTGGAAACGATCCGCAAACGATCAAGGTTATGCTGACGGCTCCGATGGGAAAGCCTGGTTTTGCCATCAAAGGTATGACCATACACACTTCGTTTGGCATTCCCGTAAACGTGTACAAAGGCGACATTTTGCCGCTTAACAGAGACAAATCCAACACGCTTAACAACCTGCTTAGACAGCTTAGACTGATCATAATAGACGAATTTAGCATGGTCGGGGCCACCATGCTGGAGCAGATACACATGCGTCTGAAACAGATTTTCAGAAACAACTACGATTTCGGAGGAATTCCGATAATCATGTTCGGAGATCTGAACCAGTTGATGCTGGTGGGCGATACTTTTATCTTCGAACCGAACAACAGAAACCCGTACCGTCCACTGTGCGGAACTTACCTGTGGGAGCGTTTCAAATTTTTCGAGAGGACCTCTCTTTCGCCAACGCACTCAACAACATGGCGAGCAACAAAATGATTGAAGAGGACGTAGTGCTGTTTTGTCGACGAGAAATGGATAGTAGAGTTGTGTTGCCCAAAAACATAGTACACCTTTTCGTGAGCAACAAAGATCTGGACAGTTTTAACGACGCCAGGTTCGAGTCGTACGAAACGGAACCGGCCTACTCGATCTCCGTCGACATGGTAAAAGGTAGTTGCACGGACAAGGTAAAAGAAAACCTTTTAAAGCAAGCGCGTAAATTGCCTAAACAAGACTGCATAAGTCTAATGTTTGTTCTCAAGTTGCAGGTCGATGCCAAGTACATGGTTTCCATAAACATCGATACCAACGACGGTATCGTAAACGGTGCAGCAGGCATTCTTAGAAAGATCGACTAAGACGATCAAAAACGGCCACGCTTGCTGTGGATGGAGTTATTGGACGTCGAAGTGGGCGTTAAAAGTCGCAAAAAGGTGGAGGCTCAAGCCACCGTCGCGGCGGCGCGCCGGCGGCTATTCCAAGGCTTGGACGCCAGCGCGCGTCGTCAAAACACAAAGGGGCAGCACGGCCAACGTAGAACGCAAACAGTTCCCGGTACTGGTGGCCGAAGGTATAAGGCCTAAGGAGGTCACGCAAAGCCAGGTATGATACGAGCAGCGCTGTACGTCGCGTGTAGCCGAGCAACGACCTTAAACTGGTAAGTTTAGAAATCCTTAATCCAAAACGGTAGTGGATGCCAAAGGAAAGGTACTGATTAATTTAAGAGTAAACAAAAGCCTGCAAACCAAATTTGCCAAACAATACCAGGCCGCGGGATCCGTTCTTTTGACATATCAATCGGTTCGTTTCCTGCATAAAATATTTATTTTCGTCGCGAATATTCGTCTGTTTAAGGACGCACATCTGGTGATTTTCGATGATGACAACGCAGATCGGCTATATCCGAGTCTGGGCGATCGATTTCACCAACAGGTCTTTCGATGGATCGACGGCGATCACAACATAGTTTGTTATCGCAGAGAACCGGTGCTGGAACTCGGCACCTACACGGGCGCGTACGACACGCATCAAATCTTAAGTGTACGCAGAGTCCACGACACGGCGACCTTCTTTATACTGGATCAAGTTCCCAAGGGTGCAGGATGACAAATTAATTTTGATTGACAAATGGCATGACGTGAAGGACAAAAGTCGAGTCGTTGAGCACTTTCCATCGCTCAAACTTAAATCGATGACGATCAATGTCGATAATCATGCGATATGAATCGTCGACAAATCGCAAGGATGTAGGTACACGCGATGCGAAACCCACAACACCGTGTATAGCAACAACAAGGTAACGTCGATTTGCACATCGGACCAAGTGGTATGCGTCCTCGTCGACGACGACTTGGAACCGAAGGAAATCGACGTTGAATCAGCCAAGTTGCCGATAGGCTTGAACGATATCGATTTTTCGATGTTCTAAGATTAATTCGAAATGATGGAGGAACACGAAAACGAGGATGTCGTCGGCGACTTGGTACCGATCAATATCTACGATGAGTACGAAAACGAGCTGCACGCCGATTTGTACGAAAACAGAGGTCTGGAGAACCACGACGTCAACGCCGTCATTCAAAGTCTACTTTCACTGGCGGAATTTAGACAAAATATCTTGAATAGCGGCAACCAGGACACATACAAAGCGGACCTTTCGACCAACGTCAGCAACAAGACGTTCAAGAGTTTTACATAAAACTTGTAAGCGAACTCCAACTGGACATCTTCTGCTACACAGGCCACGATACGGTTCGAATGTGCAACCGATGCGGTCACGTAGAAATGGGACCATCTTGAACGTCCGATTCCTAGAATTTCCAGCCAAACACGACGAACCGACGATTTCGTTCGACCAAATGAACAATTTCCAAACGACACCGGACATGCCCTGCTTGCGTTGTTTATAAACGGTATGCATTAAACGGTACAATGCGAACGAGAAAATTCGAACCAAAATCGATGAGTTCGATTGCGTCATAATCGACGGTCATCAATTCCGAGTGCGAGCCGTGGTAAAACATCTAGGAGATCGCATAAACGAAGGGCATTGCGTTGCGATCGTTTGACAAAGCGAAAATCGCTGGGTTCGATGCGACGACTCCAACATTTCTGCTCAAGCAGATTTCGACAATACGTTAAAGGACGTGTACCTAATGTTTTTGGAGAGATTTAGATTTCCGTGTAAAATTCCGTAACCATGCGCGATGACACCTAAAATGGTTGACATTTGTTTTTGTTTATATTCTGCGTTTTACCCATTGTGTGTAAATATGAAAGATAATCATTTATAAAGGGTGGGCCATCTATAAGTTGAATTTTAAACTACGTGCTATTAATGAAGCTTTCAACTTAAGCGCCATGAATTGTTGACAGTGGTTTAGTTTTAACCTTCCGATTACAAAATATGCACCGAATAAATTTGGATCAACGTTTCGAAATACTCAAAACTTACTTTGAATGTGACTGTGATCGCAAAGACGGCATGAAAATTGCGTTTGGAAGAAATGAGGCGCCGTCAAACCAAAGTATTACAAATTTGATCAAAAAATTGGGCAGAAATGGAATGCTGGTGGACATAAAACATGTTTCGCATGCTCGTCCTAGACGTACACCTGAAGGAATCGCTGCTGTGGCCGAAAATGTACGCATGAACGCGTCAATATCAACTCGGCGCAGATGTAAACAACTCAGCCTTTCCCGTACCACTCTGAGGATGATTCTGCACAAAGACTTCGGTATGTTTGCGTACAAAGTCCAGCTTGTTCAGGAGTTAAAGCAAGTTGACCAACCACAACGTTTTTGCTTTGCTAAGTGGGCTTTAAATCAGTTGAACGATGACCCTAATTTTGCAAGAAAAATCATCTTTTCAGATAAGGCGCATTTTTACCTCGGAGGTTATGTCAACAAGCAAAACTGTAGGATTTGGGCCACGGAAAATCCACACGTCACCGTAACAAAGCCTATTCACCATTTAAAACAAAACATTCAAGCTCAAATTGCCTAAATAGAGCAGCAAACTTTTGAAGTGCTCGAAAATTGGTGTTCCAGGATGGGCTACTGCCGAGCCAGCTGAGGTGGCCACTTTAATAAAATCATTTTCCATACTTAATCGGAAGAAACATTGTATCAAATAAAGCAAAATTCGTTGAAAAAAAATCAGTTTTTCTTGTTCTCATTGCTATTTTATAATTCAACATAAACATGGCCCACCCTTTATATTAGTGCAGTGATCACAATTTTAATTGCCCAGGCAGCTTGTTGTATACTACCTATGGAGAAAGGCAGTAACTGCTAAACAAGAAATATGTGGGAAATTAGCATAATCTACATTTTTATAAAAAAGCAGTAGGTATTTAACTGATTTATTTAACTTAAAAGATAGTTTACTGCATTTCTTTGTTGAATTAAGATACAAAATGTCCATAGCTTTATCATAGCACAAGAAAACGCATTTGCCTTTCTCGATAGTAGGGCAGTATAATGAAAAAAAAAACATCGAACAAGACGTTGGAAAACTACAGAGTTTTACAAAGGAACGTTTCTAAAAATGAAAGACATTGATCATAAACAATATCTAAATATCCTATTTAGAGACACAAATTATTTAATAAACTGAACACCTATCTTATAATAATACTAAACAATCATGTATTTTAAATATTTTGTGCCTACGCGCTGTCACCCTACAGCGCATGTCCATAACAAGCACTGTGATTGGTCATGTCAAAGACCTTTACGGTGAAAGATAAAACTTAAAAATTTCTATGGGAGGAAGGAATGCCGTCCTTACGGTACGGGAATCTATAACTGGCACTACGATTTAAATAAACATTTTTGACGTAATTGTCACCATTAACATTGCCCGTTATTAATTTTAATTAAATTTAACAATTATTGATACTTTAATATATTAAAATAACTTCAAAATATGATTTTGTTTAGAAAATATTTTATTCTTTAATTTTTTTTATTACTATAATTGCAAAATATTATCACAAAGTATTAAAAATTCCTACACGGGAAAAGTTAATGGTGACAATTACGTAATGTTCATCTTCTACGGGAGGAAGGAAGGAAGGAAGGCAATCTATAATTCAGAGTTAAATCTACAAAATGTCTGTAATAATTACAAAGGACTTATTCAATTAGTTAACATATTACAGTTGGTTGTAAACTTAACAAAAAGTTATATGGACCTGGATTAACATAAAATCTGAATATTATTTAGTTAAAATTAACAAATATTTTTTTACTGCGTAGTTGCCATTTATCAAGTGTTATACATTTAATTTTGTCTTAAAAATAAAGTGCCCTTCTTGTGAAAAATTATTATTATTTTTGTGTTCGTCGTACAAAAAGTATTATGTGCAATTTGTTTTATAAACTTCTCTAGAAACTTAATTATTAAAATTCGTGACTAAAATGCCATTTATAAAATTTGTTGCATTATATACTATTATAATTATTTAGACTTTCAAAGAGTCATAACTAAAATACATTTTAGAGATTATGCAGGCTGTTTTTACGAGGAGTTATACTATACTTGTTTGCTTCAATTAAATAATTTTAAAAAATAACAAACTGTATTATTACATTTGTCAGACGGTTCTAACCTCACTTTCTTCCAATTTTAAAGATATTTATTGTTGCCCCTCGTATACTTTTAAAATACTTTTAAAATCTGTCAGATGGTTCTTACATATCTTTTAATTTAAAACCCGATTGGTCCAAATTACAGTGAATAATGAAATTGGCCAATAACTTAACAACGCGCATTTAATGTCAATATTTTAGTGAATACGAGAAGAAAAATATCATTAGTTAAACGTCCGTATTTTTCTCTTCCTAAAATATACTATTTTTATGCAAATATAAGCCAGCCTTAGTTTACAAGAATTGCACGATATTAAATTTATAAAACAATAGCAAATGTACTTTTTCTCCACTCCTATAATATTAGTTTTTCCGTCTATAATTATAACCATTATAAATTTCCCGCCTAACAACACGAATAATGAACTCATAATTAACGTTGTTAGGCATCAGTAATTGACCGATCTCAATACTCACCGTGATTTGAACCAATCGAGTTTTAAATTGCGAAAAGGCGACTATAATAATATTTAAAATTAATAGAAAGTGAGGTTAACCATCTGACTGATGTCAGATTTTATTTATCATTTAATTATCTATTAATTAAAGTAGATAAAGTATAGTATTACACTCGATATTATGCGCATTATTTAATCAAACCTTATCCTTGCGAATAAAAGCCTGCATTATCTCTAGTATAATAATATAATATTGACCACATTTGAGTACAAATTTTAAATACACTATTTAACGTATGTTTACA